GGATTAATTGACATAAGTAAAGCTTGCTACATCTAGAAGATTGACAAATTTGATTTTGTAGTATGCATGGGAGCTTTCCTTGGCGGATCTGATTTCAGATTAATTTTTCTATCCCTTCAAAATGTTGGAAGTTTATCTACCGAGCATAGCCAGTTTTCTTCAGAAAAATTTTCAAATATGTAGAGCTATATTAATAGGATGAAATTATTCAATAGTTGGATCATACGGGGTCAGAGTGGTGGAGTTTCTATTTTCATGAGTCTATCAATTGATCTTGTTTTTATCCTTTGCAAGCATGGCATGGAGTGTTGTGCTTCGTGTTATCATTACTGGTTTAAAAATAACCATGGTCAAGGAAGACCTGTCAGTTATTTCTATTACGGTTCCCTTCTTTGGTGTTGTTTTAGCTTGGTTCATGCTTTTTGGATTTTATTTACATCTCATCTGTGTGTGTTACTGCTGCTATCCTGGAAAGCTTTACGGCTGTTCTAAATTAGCCTATGCTTTGTCCTTAATATTCACCATCCTCAAAACCTTTGCCGCAATAGTTGGATGCATTGTCCTGTACACTAGTCAAGGGAACTTTCATGGAAGCATCTCCAACACATTGGATTATGTAGTGAGTCAGGCTGAATTCATAGCTGAAAACCTCAGGAACGTGACATATTATTATGATTCAGCTACGCAGATTACACCTAGTGTACTTCATTTGCCACAAGATGTTGGAAAGGAGTTTAATAATGTTAAAACCAAAATCAGCACAGCTACTGCTGACCTTTCCAATAAGATTAAAGATAATTCAAAGATGCTACACCAAAGTATAGATGGAATGTGTTTGGCTCTTAATATTGTTGATACTATTATGCTTTTTGTTGTACTTCTCGGACTCTTATCTTTCATAATTGGGTTGCACTACCTTGTATACTTCTTGGTAATTGTTGAATGGATTCTTATTTTTCATGCCTCCATATTCAAGCCAATTCATCAGGATACTTCGAACAAGTCCTTTCCTGCTTACACTGAATTTCACCTTGAGGGCAAGGTATTTTTCAAAGGGAAGGGGGATGATACACAAGGCCCTGCTGAGCAAGACCAACCAGAGGAGGAGAATGATCAAGCTGATGCTATTAGGCTGGAGCAACAGCAAATGGCTCATCACACTGGCCCTAAGTCTAGGTGGTCCCAAGGAAACAAAACCCAGCCTAGCTAGGTGGATGAATGATTTTCTGATATGAGCAATAGGCATGAGCTGTGAGTAGGTGACCTGCGTGTCTTTTAGGAGGTTTTGCTTTTGATTACTAGATTCTGTTATTAGATGTTGTTAAGCGTAGTGCTGCGAGGCATGTTCTTCTAAACTTTTTAGTGTTAGTTTTGCTTTTCTATTAGGGGGTGTTGTTGGTTTTGTATAAAACGTTGGTCCATTTTCTGAAATGGCATTGAGAAGTTTATCAACAACCTTTGGTTGAGGGAAGAGCCTACCCTCGAAGAGAGGTATTTTTAGAGTTCTTTGTTTTTTTCCTACTCTTTCATCCTTATTCCTATCATCGTCCTATATGGATCCTTATAATGATGATAAATAAATGGATCACTTATTAAATGATAACATCTCTCTTTAAAAATGTCAATGTTATATATATATATATATATATATATATATATATATATATATATATATATATATATTATTAAAGGGTGATTATACTTAGTTACTTACCATTATTTTAGATTTATCATTCTTACAAATTGATCAATTTTATTTTTTTTTGGTAAATCAAACTGATCAATTTAAAATCAATGGTAGTTATTTTCTTTTTCTTTTTCAACTGTTGATTTTTAATTGATGCAACGATAACAAATGAAATAATAAAAATAATAAATTTAAAATGATGGTAAGTATAATCTCATTTTTTTTTGGGTACCATTAAGGGCTAAAGCCCAAACAACCAGGTTAAAATACATTGATATTAGGAGTAGATAATTTTGCATTAAACAGTACACTTTTTCTTTTGATAGAAAAAAAGCCTTAAAGGTACTATTGTAAAAGCTACGAAATTCTCTATAATCAAGTGATTCAAGAGATAATTAGCGAGTTAATCCGCACAACAATTTCTTTCTTTGTAGATAGGGGTGTTTGCGGTCTGGATTTGATCGATTTTGGAAGCAAAACTCATCTGATCCAATCCCTTCAGTTTGAACATGTAATCATCCATTCGGTTTAATTTTTTTTTCAAATCCGATCCAATCCAATTTTTTTCGGTTTGGATTGGATCGGTTTTTTTGTTTTTTGAAAATCCTAAAATTTGTTTCATGATTATTGTGCAAATAACATCTTTTGTATATGTTGGTTTAGTTGATGAGTTAATAGATCTTGGATTTAGAAATTTTTGGACAATGATTAGAGAAAGGTCCAAGTAGGTAGAGGAAAATTAATATATTGGATCGATTTGGATTGACTCGATTTTCATCAACTAATCCGAAAACTGATCCAATTCAATTAAAATTTGCGGATTTTTTTCGATTTTATGATTTTCGATTTATTCGATTATCGGTTTTTCAGTTTGGTCACCGCGGTTTGAATCGGTTGATGAACACCCCTATTTGTAGATATGTTGGAACCTGACATGCCATCCATTTTTAGTAGTGGTTAGTGTTTCACTCACTTAAATTACGATTACTCATTCTCTCAGATCAAAAGGATTTGAAGAAGAATAATAATTGAAAATAGTTTTGAAGCACATACGAAGTATAGAATAATTATTAAAAAAAAGTATAAAGTAATTGATATTTTGTAAACCAGAAGGTAATTAATTTGGTTTTCGTTATTAAACCTCATTGAAATAAATGGGCAAATAGACCAAGTTGTTGTTTTATTATCACTGGTAGCTGTATTGTACAAGAAAAAAGCGATTCGAACATTAATGCTTACCGAGTTTTGGTTCATGGTGCTGTTAATTTCTTTTAGAATTTTGCTCAAAGGATTCAATTGTTCCCCTGACAAAGCATCAGGTGAAATGTAAAAAATATGAATTGCATGCGTTATGTACAATCCTACATGATGCTTCCTTTCCACCACATATTTGAAGCTCAGCCTTTTAATCCTGTGTTAAGGTCATTTAGGGCTGTTTGAATTTTTATTTTTATTTTGTCCAAAATGCTATTTTCTATTTCAAAAATATGTGTTCGTACTCTAACTTAAAAAACCAAAAAAAAAATTTCAAGTCAATTTTCTTTCCGTTTAAAAAAAGCCATTTTTTAAGTCAATCCAAAAGGCTGTTTTTTAGTTAAAAGTATATGTTGTATACAAATGTAAAATAAATCCGGTTTAGAAAGAATAAAATTATAACAAACAAATCATTTTTTTTTTAAAGTCAATCCATACAGGCCATCATTTTGCTTAGTGTTTTTATATACTGAGGCCTATATTTTAGCGAATCAAGCGAGTTTTCTATACTAAGTGGAAAAAATATGTACTACTTCTTTTCTTTTTCCTCTCCTCTCTCCTCTCCGGAGCACAAAAGAAACGCTCGCACAAGTCATGTACTAAGACCCATTATAAGAAAATATTTATTATGCTTCAGGTCCATTACCACTTATTCAGTAGTTTCTTTTTCAATAATAAAAAAATATATTTCATTTTTTTTCTTTTTTCGATTTTTTTCCTTCTCAATCCTTCCATTTTTTTCTATTTTGGGAAGAGACCATCATACTACATACCCACAAAAAAACATCTCCCATTAGAGATAGCATACTCCATGCAGTTATCCGTTTACATAGTCACTTAGGGTTGTTTAGTAGAGAATAAATTTTTTATGCATGAAAATCATAATTCCAAAGAATAAGAATATGTTGGGAAAATAAATTTCTTTGAAATATTACAAAAAAGCTATTTGGTAGGATAAAATACTATGAAAATGTTACCAAAGAATTGTGTAAATTTTTTCTTCTCATGGAAATCCAAAAATATCACTCTCTCGGTGGTATTCTTGTAAAGTATTTTGATTCAAAAAGCTTTAAAATATATATATATATATTCATTGGAATTTGATTTACTCGAAAAATTTTTAACAATTCTTATACTAAATGTAAATGTAGGTAAATAACATTACCAATATCAGTTTTCCCGAGAATTGAAAAATTTTCATTGTACCAAACACCAAGGAAGCACGGACACTTGTAAAAACAGGAAGAGTCGGGTTCGACACGCTCCGACACGGCGACACACTCCGACACGGGGTCGGACACACGGTTGACTTTTTCCGACACGTTGACCATTCCGACATGCGAATTTGACCGTGTCCGACACGGTCAAATGGCATTTTCGTAATTTTTTTTTAAATTTTTTTAAAATTTTTTTTTTTAAAAAGTTAAAATATATTCATAAAGCTTCCACCTGATCATTCAATTTTATCTTTTTGTCTTTTTTTCTCTTAAGCAGATAAGAGATCATCTCAGCATCATTGTTGTCAATTCCTATCACGCTTTTATTGTATCTTCTTCTTTCTGAATCTCTCTAATATGATTTGATCTCTCTATCTGATATTATATCTCTCTATCATCCCAGTTCTTATTTTTTTTTATTAAAGCTTCCATCTTTATACCGTGTTGATGGGTATTATTAATTTAGTTTCATTTTTTTGTTAAATTATTAAATATTAAATGAAATATACACTATATAAATTAAAAATATTATTTAATATTAAAACGTGTCCCAACGTGTCGAAATCCATAATTTTTTAGGATTGACGTGTCGGAATGTCGGGTCGTGTCGTGTCGTGTGTCGCGTGTCGTATCGGTGCTACATAGCCAAACACCACCTTCATAAAACAGGAGATGCACCTGTATATCATAACCATGACTAATTTTTCATTGCATAGTAATTGATAAGTACAACGATTCGTATAGTGGATACATTGTTATACACAAATGATAACGGGATTTGAGACATAAAAGACATGTAGAAGTGCATACAGTTTGGGAATAATGGTGTCTAAGTTATATGATTATGCAGTTGGGTAAGATGCTTGCATTGCTATGCCACAGAGTCCTTCAGCAGCATCCACACCCCTTTGCATCCTAATGTACCCTTCTTCACCCCATTGTGTTCCCCATGAGTTCTTAACCAACCAATACTCAGTCCCATCACCACTAACACCATAACCCACAGCAGTGACACCATGATCCAACTCAGTTCCACATGAACCAGTGAACACACCACTTTTGTAAAATTGAAAGTCAGAGCCACTGGCATCTATGGCAACTGAAATTGGTTGATTAGCCACTGCTTTTTGGAGAGCCTGTTCATTATTGGCAGGGACATCCTCATACCCAGTAATGGTAGCAGCATGCTTGGCTACTTCATTTGCATTGCATGTTCCATCCACACCCTGATAAGGGTAGTTAGCTTCAGTGTTAAGTCCATGATTTTGCATGATGAATTTAAAAGCATCATCCATAAGACCACCCTCACAACCTTGGTCAACACCCTTTGTGTCACAATCAACAAGTTCTTGTTCTGATAAAGATATCAATTTTCCATTACTCAGCATATTGATACCTTCCGTTGCTGCAACAGCAGAAAATGCCCAACAACATCCTACAAGGTGAATTAGAACTAGTGTTAGCTAGATGACAATTCAATCTATCATGACTTGTGAGATTCAATGAATTATCAGATACTTACCACATTGGCCTTGGTCCTTGATGGGTGTCACTGCTCCTTTCTGTCTCCAATCCACTGTGGATGGTAGTGCAGTCACATTTTGGTACTTAAAAGTGGTTGTCCTTGTGATTGAGGAGCACATATGTCCCTTGAATCTATTTTTGGGTGCTATGAACTCCTCATTTGTGAGGTCTGCAAATTGATTAATGCCAAGCTCGTAAGGTTTATTGCCAGCCTTGTTGAAAGTATCAATGTAATTGACGTTTTCCTGAAATATCGTGAAACGCTTTTCCCTTTCTTGGAGGTCATTATAGACTTTGCCATAGCGAGCCATCCATTGCTCATGCCTCTCGTACATGGTGGCATCTTGGAGAGTGCGAGATGTGACCTGAAAAGCCAAGAATCCCAAGCATAAAAGCAATGCCAGTGAAATATGAGACAACTGATTTTTGGAAACCATGGTAGCCAGTGTTGTGGGACAACGATGGCAAGAAATAGTTAAGGTTGTTTACTGAAATAGTAGAAAGATGTGTTGTGCTTGTTCTCAAGAACAATTGTAGTATTTATAGCAAAGTTAACGTTGAATAGTATATTGATATTGTACTTCTCAACTCAAAGCTTAAAACACCTTTCTCTTCTACGTAGCTGTGAGAAATTTTTGAATAAGACCCTTGTGTGTGGGTCTTGACTCATAAAGCAGAGGCTTCGATAGAGTGTTCAAGCACTTTTAAAAGGGACGCCGTGTGCGTATTGGAAAAGTTTGTAATTATAATAAAAACAAAGGTTTGAAAGTATAGTTAACTTCATGCATCATGGAATTTGCCAACGCATAACCTCATCTGTTTACTCTCGTTCATTCAATGATGATATAAAGAATTACTTTTTATCGTGCATAACAACAGTTTGGCAACATTCACAACAGAAGTCGTCCAATTCATGTTCGTATATTTTACCTCACACTCAATTTTCCAGCGCATAACCGAAGGAAAATTTGCACTTCCAAATCCATTATAATTTATTTACCGGAAATGATTTTCCAAAATACAATAAACGAGACACCAAGCTTTAGATTATTATTTCTTTTTTAGATATAAAAGCAGCAAAAACTTCCCTACCAAAATTTTGACACAGTTACGTGTTCAGGACTGAACTTGAGACTAGTAACTTGAAAACAAGCTAAGTGAAAAGATTCATTTAAGATAGATTTGGCCTCATAGCTAGTTAATAATTATAACAAGTGATGTTAAATTCACAACTTATGCCTTCTTAAGCAAACAGAGTATTAGAGCATCTTACGTATGTTAAATTTTTTAATAAGTACATATTAAAAAATCTAAACTTATTACATAAAACTTTTTTAATGACATACGGGTAAGAGGAAGTAAATTAATTATTTCTTTCTTTGTTACAAAATGCCAACAGCTTTGTATGTGCTCGAAAACTATATATTTATATATAATATAAAAGTTCTTCCACCACTATTTTCACAAAATAGTTTTCTAAAAAAATATTTTATTATATAACTAGCTTTTTTATTTTTTTTCATGTATAACTTTTACGAGTTTTTTTTTTTTTTTTTTTTTTGGAGTTACCCAACCCTAATTACCTCTTTGAGGCGAGTTGGCTTCCTCCGGTATCCCCACGAGCTTCGACTCTTTGAGCCGGCTATGGGACTAATCCGGAGTGCGGGGGAGCAGTGATGGCTAAAGGTTCAGCCCCCTCCCCAAGAATGCATTTAGCAGGAATCAAACACATGTCCAACCCCACTAACTCAGCGCCAAGTTACCAACTGAGCTGCACCCATTGGGAATTGGACACTATATCGAAGCCTTTTTAATTTTTTTTTTTTAAATAACAATCAAAGAATATTGTTCATATAAACTGATTTGGAATTGGCCATTCATTTCTTACCTTTATGGTATGATTTTCTGTACTTATTATTTTGATAAATTCTTAATTGTTGTTATATACAAGTTAATTTGGTATAGATTATGATATGAGAAATTCAATAACTTTATTATTCAGTTTAATATTTTTTTTTATGATGCAAGTCCCTCTTGTTATACTTGTCCTTATTTTCTAATTGCTTTGCATTGAAATTAGGGATGACAATTTTCTACACGATATGAAAAATTCGTGTTCGGGTTGACTCGTTTTCAAATTTGTATCATATTCATTTTAGCAAAAATTGTTCGAAAAAATTTGTGTCGTGTCGTGTTACGTCGTAAATCGGTTTTTTGTGTCTTATCTCGTCGTATCAATTCGCATAATAAGTAACATAATTTAGGGTTTATAGATTATTCATATTGTGTTGTATTGTATCAACCTGCATAATAAGCGACACACTTTGAGTTTGCGGGTTATTCGTGTAGTAACATCCTCATCTCGAGCCGGTTCATTAATATACATATGGTACTAAAGCGCAGCATAATTAAACATGCAGAAGTGGAAGACTTAATTAAAACTTTACTTCTTATTCTAGGTAATTCTACGAGCTAACTTTTTCCTTTTCTTGTACGGTTGTTGTGTTGCATAACATTTTACTTTTTCCAATTTTAAACGCAATGTACCGACCCAAGCCGACGTAGAATTTCTTTTCCTAACTTATTAATCCTGAAATCGTAATTAACGGTCACATTACCATAAGAGCATGACAACTAGTGTTAGCCATGACAGAAGCAAACAGACAGGATAATAGTTGTAAATTGGACAATCCCGGGATTAAATACCTCACATAAACATATCTCTGTCAATCAGAAAAGTCCAATACAGTGTATACGTATCCAATGGCTAACACATAACCTCTAACTAAAATACATCATATATAAAGTATGGCTTCGAGCCAACATAAGTAAATAAAGAACTAATATCTGACAATGGACAATGATTATAAGAACGCATGATCATATATCATGCCTCAAAATAAACTATACAGTAATCTATATACAAAACACATGACATGTATCGTGACCTCAAAATAAGCATATATAACATGGTATCTCAAAATGAAACTATCTAATCCAAGTAGGGTCATCTAATGTAAGTGTTTGTCCTACTATCACTGCTGAAACTCCTTACCCCGAGAGGGCTCTCTCACGACTTGCACACCTGAAATTATGTTCCCAAAAGGGCTGATATGACAAATCTATGTAAGCTCAGGGTTTATAGAGTATTCCTCATCCTTAAGCCCACTTCCTGCAAGAAGGTTCAGATACAAAGCATAGCATATACATCATATAATCAAAGCATATCAAATCATATCATACATATGTGACCTTCAAGAGCTTAAGTCCTCCAATGGATTAGTGAACATATGATAGTGACTCCCAGGAACTTAGATCTTCCAGTGGGTTAATCACAACTTGTGCGCAATGACCTCTAAGAGCTTAGATCCTCTAGTGGATTAGTTAATGCACATGCACTCATTGGCTATAAACTACATATACATTTGACATCATCTTATCATACATATCTATATGAATGCACTTATACCAAATATTAGACGTACAATCATACAATTAGACCAACCATACTCTCACTTGACCATAGAGGAGCAGACAAAGAGAGGCATAATCCTTAAACCGAGAGCTTACCTTATAATAGCTTAATCACATGCTTACTTGTATTGCAAGCAAGCCTACGTACCTCCCTCCAACACCTGGTCCACAAACTCTGAATCCCTAGACACAAACCTAGAGGAGAAATCCATGTCAACAATAGTCATTACACAATTCAAATGTCAATCATATGTCATACACAAGTCATTTTACTAATTCTTTTCAACTTATACATTTAGGACCCTTAATAACGTTTACAACAATTATCTAATATACCCAAGTGGTTTCCATATCCCATAAGGCCCAATTTAGTATTTTCATATTTTTTCAGCTTGAGTTACCTTCGTTCAAACTGAAACTGTGAATGAACTATATATCAATAAATTATCATATTTTATTATGTTATTCTATACTTCCTAGGCTTTCCAACAAGGTATCATACACCTCAATCAGAGTTATATAGCTCAAGTTATGCTTTTTGGAAGTTCATCTCACAAAACTGTTTTCAAAGAGCAACAGGGGATCCCAACCTCCCTCACTGTTTTCACCACTGAGGCAGTTTCACAAGTCAGATAGCTCTCAAATTTTAATATGTTACAGTAGACACTTACATATTTAATTCTAGGTATCATAAGCTTAATTTGGATAAGGAATAAGGGGGATATTGAATTTAGAAGTGCCAAACCTGAGAGCACCTTCCAATTCCAAATTTCGGGCATTCTTCACTCAAATTGACTTTGGTAACAAACCACAACACAAAATCGTCTAAAATTTTAAGGAAATGTAGAGGACATCCTAATATTTAAAATGAGATATTATGAGCCTCATTTGACCAAGGAATGAGGGAGATATCAATCTTCAAAGTCAGAAGCAATATCCTCACAATTTTTAGAATTTTGGCAACTAGTCTTTGTTTTTGTTTCTTACAACTTATGTTTAATTCATGGTTCAATTACCATCCATGCCTTACTATATCTTTACTCACATTATAACATATAGCATTCCCCATAATCATCCTTAATCATTTCAAATCACAGTTCATACACAAAAGGCCTTGAAGGCTGAGAAGCATGTATAAGCTTCCAAAGAGGCTTCTTCAATCAAATGGTCAAGGAACTCTTACCTTTAAGTCCAAGAATCTTGTGCTAGTTGTCTCTCCAGCAATCAACAATGAAAGTACCAAACCAATGCACTTCACACCTTACTTGACCGAGTTGACCTAAAAGCCCATGAGGCACTTTTCAAACTTTGATCAACATAAGCATGGTTTTACTACGCCAACTCAATCCAACAACTCCTAACCACCTTAGTAATATCACTACATAGATTTTACACATCAATCCCAAAACGCTCATGTTAGCCGAAATGCAAGGAGAAGGTTCAATGAGATTTTTCCAACTTTTAATGACATTCACATGCTATTTAACATACTATCAACCTATATGAACACAAACGCCCAATATTTAACTACATGATCATGCATTTTCATTTTCCAACAAAACCTTATATCCTCATCAACTTCAAATTCATGGACCCAAGTATTGAATCATAGAAATTAAAGTTACTTACCACCAATAGGTTCCTAAACTACCAATTGTCAAGCTCCAAGCCTTCAATCAAGCAAAACCATGGATTTTTCACAACCTTAATGAATAGTGACAGCCATGAACATAGAGAAGGATCTCATCAAACGATGGTTCCCAAGTAGAAATAAGCTATGCATTTTACTCATGCAGACCTAGGGAACATTTTTCGTGTTCAACACTTTTGGATTTGATGAGTAGAAAGTGATGAAAATGGGAGATGAAAGAAAAGCAATCCTAGCATTACTATGGAGAGGGAGTCGTTGGTTTGTCAACAAAAAAGGAAGAAGAAGATGAATTTTGCAATGTATTTTTCTCTCTCCTACTTATAGGTTAGTTATCTTTTACCTACTTAATTTACACTACTCACACTTAATCTTACAAACTTAATAAATATTATATTTTTAGTCCTAAAATGACTTGTTTGGCATAATTCAATTTTTCTCATTTTTGAGTTCTACTATTAATTTCCACTGGAGTGTATCTTATCTGGTAAAATCATTATTCACACTTTCTCAAAAAGTGTCGTATTATACAAAATTGTGTTCAGAATCCAATTCTAACATTTATTTCATCGAAATAAATCTCTAATTATCAAAATCGCAGGTTATGGTTGTTATACGTGTCTTGTTAACTCACAAAATAACCGAGTCGTGTTTGTATAATACCCCAAACTTAAACATTTAATTGATTAATTTAATTATTAATTAAATAATTCAGCATGTCTTAGTGAGTAAAATTAAGTATAAGGCTTAATTAAATGAATCTGAGTCACTTTGGAGTTAAAAAGTGTACTCAGAGAAAATTAAGGGGTATAAATGGGTGTAGGCAAAAGTACCCAAAATATAAAAATAAAATTAGAAACATTCCTAGAAAAATATTCCAGACTGTTGGGTAAAGTTTGGTAATTAATGGAGTCGAATAGATAGATGAACCAATACCCATTAGATATCACTTAACCAAGTTAAGTGACATAAAACAAAAGAAAACCCTTGTTCCCCCCCCCCCCATTTCAGTCGACGCCCAGAAAGAAGAGAAGAGAAGAAGAAGGAGAGGAAGAGAGGGAGAGAGAGAAAGAAAACCTAGGTTGTGTGATTTTCAACCGATTGGAGCGATTCAAAAGCCTAAATCACTTAGAATCTTCCCCTCTTTCATAATCCTAGCTTGGTTTTGAGTGGGGAGCATTGTGGAGAGGGATATTGCCCCTCAAAAATTCAGCCCTTTGTGAGATTTTGGGGTTTTGGGGGTTTCAACCTCCATTGAAGCTTGAGGAGCCATCAATCCTTGGTTGTGTGACCATTGGTGGTAAGATTCTAACCCTTGAACCTTGTTTTCTTGGAAAATTTCATGGTTAGGGTTTAATGAATAGTGTTTTAGGGTTTTTATGAAATGTTGAGTAGATTGGCTATGTTCAAGGAAGAATGAGGCTTAGAGTATGTTGTGAAAAATGCTAGGAATGACATTTAATCGGTAGAAATGAGTTTATAGTGTTATTTTAGTATGCTTTGATGTTTTGAGAAATCTAGGCTTGGAACTATGGATTTCCTTGCATTGTTAGCATTGTTTGATTGTATTCCTTGTGTTGATAGGATTGAGGCAAGAGGACCAAGTGGAGTGACCAACCCTTGGGGTTGTGTGCAATTGAGGAAAGCTCAAGAGCAAGGTAAACCTTTGGACCTTGTGGTTGATCCCATTGAGTGTTCCACCATACTCCGTTGAAGAGAAATGGTTTATGAGATGTGATATGTAATTATGATTGTAATTGTATGCTCATGCATTGATTCATGCTTTGATACATGTTATGATTGATTGATGATTATTGGTTGATGTTTGATTGTTTAAGAGTAATTGAGGAATGATTATAGAAGTAGCAATAATGAATGAGGTAATGGTTGAGGATTGTGATTGAGGTTATGAGTGATAGTATTATGATGAGGATGACTGGTAGGAACTTCCCTTGGAAACAGCCCTATGTGGATCTCCATGTGGTTAGAGCCTAAGAGGAACAGCCCTATGTGGATCCCTCTTGGAGGTTCCTAGATTGAGGAAAGGACTTCCCTTGGAAACAGCCCTAGGTGGATCTCCATGTGGTAAGAGCCTAAGAGAAACAGCCCTTTGAGGATCTCTCTTGGAATAGATTGAGGAAAGGACTTCCCTTGGAAACAGCCCTATGTGGATCTCCATGTGGTAAGAGCCTAAGAGAAACAGCCCATAGTGGATCTCTCTTGGAAGTCCATGTGATGCTTGTGGATAAGAATGTGTTAAGCTATTATGATTATGTGTACATCAAAGTGAACCTTAGGGTGGAGTGATCTCCAAGGACCTCTGGTTTACTGTGATATATTCGTATATCTCACCCCGTGTTATGGGGACCCCCTTTCAGGTAAGGAAGCTGCAGGAGACTCTGATGGCAAGTGGCCTTATTTGCAGTAGATCATGCATGAAGAAAATGATGTTTTGAGATCATACATGTTATTTTGTAGATTTACATGTATAGGATTGATCATTGATAGCATTGACGTATGTATATCTCGTTATATTTGATGGACTTAGCCTATGATCGTGCCATTGGATATCTCTTTTGTTGATGAGAGCCAAGGGATGGTCATAGCCTTTTGTAGCTAAGTTCCCAGTTATGTAATTAAACTTGTGTAATGTTATTTACTTCAAGGTTATGAATGCATGATGAATATTGGAAATGTTGAGCTGAATTGTCTATTAGGAGCTAAGCTGTTAGATTGGGAAACGTTGAGAAAACAAAGGTTATGCTGCCCAATTTCCGTTAAATCAATGATGAGAGGATGAGAGTTAAGCAATGATATAGGGATATCGCAAGCTTGTTAAATAGGTTGTAAAATGTGTAGGATTGTGTAACAGCCCGTTACGTACCGGTATTGTTAACATTAATTATGATATTAAGCGCAGTTACAATCACAGCAGTTCATTTATAAAACGCGAATAAATTTTTTTCCGATTATTACGCGAGCATTTAAAACATAAAAAGACGTAATAATTAAAAGCTGTGACCGTAACCGTAAACTCTTGCGGAAGACTTATTTAAACTATTTTTATCACTTACGTTACTTATTATAAGTTACTAAGGAGTTCCCATAAACTCACTTAGCCAATTTCCAACTTTACGTTTTTTACCAATTCGAACATGTTTCACTCTAAGTTTTTCTGCGACCAAACCGATCGCAACCAACCCTTCTTCTCAGATTATATCTTTGTGTTACTTAATTCCCTTTTTAACAAGCTAACATACGCTCAATTCGGAGCTCATTTGCTCCGGTTATCGCCGTTTGAAGTTGGATAAGCAATTAGCCCAAACAACCCCAAAAACAGCTCCAAACCACTCACATTGCTCGAATTACTGCACTCAATCCCCTCAACCAAGTACTCTCAAATTTTTATCCTACAAACTAGACATCTCAAACTTCATTTTGATATATCACACACTCAATTTGACTGAGAAACGAAGCGGGAATTAATTTCCCAAATCCGGTCCAGAATCTGCCTCAGGTGCAGTGGCACATGAGCAGTCCGCGTTTCTCTATTTTTTTCAGGCCGAAGATCAACCCATATTTTTCTTAAATTTTGACACAAGGTAGAGGACATCTCAACCTTCAAAATGGCGTATGGCACGTCCCTAGGGGACCTCTATGGAGGGAGATATGCTCTCCCGAAGTTCGCCTAAAATCTGCCAATTCTACAGAAAATTCGCCAGAGTTTCCTTTGTTTTTCCAATAATCCCAAAGTTGTAAAAGATCCTTTAACCTCAATTGTACCTAATAAACACATGATAATACAGCAATAATCCAATGGGTGGCACACACAAGGACCAACAATGCCTTGGGGCACTTACAACCCAATCCAGTTTATAGTTATTAAACATAGAGTCCATATTAATCATTCTTAAGTAGTTGCAATCACTAACACCTTTTTCATGCATATTTCCATCATACATATTATCATAACCTAAAACAGGCCTAAGGCCCTTCCATCATAGTTAGACATGCATCAATACTATTACAATATGGCTTTACAAATTACAACTTGAAACTAAAACTTCAAATTACATTCTTCTAAAATTTCAACTTAATTAAAAGACAACATAACCAAATACATCACTACTAGACTTAGGCAAAATGGCATGAACAAGATGCTAATGAAGCTACTAATAAATACAAATGACATGTTCATGCCTTAAGTCTAGCCTAGGCCACACGGCCAACAAAATGCAAAATAAGAAACGCTCCATCGCTCACTCTGCGGGCCTCTTGCCCGAGGCTCCTGCTCCACTGCTACCTCCTGAAATAAATGCCCCGAGACGGGGTGAGATATATGAATATATCTCAGTAACCAAGAGGTTCTGGAGAAAACTCCACCCAATGGTTCACTTCGATGCATATCAATAGAATACAACAACCACTTTGAAAACGGGGTATAGCAAGGGATTTAGAGAATGGGGAATATAAAGAAAACAAAATACGACGATACGGGATGGTAACCCCAATTCCACGTACGCCCTCGGCATATATAAGCCTATGGGTATCATCCAAGGTGTGTTCACAGAAACCACAACCATGATGCCCAAACCAACCAAAACGCCAAAGACATTCCTAGTGTGCTCCTACCCGGATCACACACCATGACCGCAGTCAACTGGAACTCCCTCCTGGAGACCTATCCAGCGGAAGTCCGAAAATGCCCGAAGGCTAATAAAACTGTCTACTGGCCAGAGACTCGGTACCGCAGTACCCATAGCAATAATGCATGCATGCTCATGTGTTCTATACTATTCATACACACTTCCTACCGTTGCCATCAACTGGCAAGGTGGAACAGAAAAGGGGAACAAGCCCCAGTACCAAGAGGTTACCTTAATTCGTGTTTCCACAAGCTCCGTAGCAGCTTATCCCTCAACTCGGTACACAGCGGAATGCCTACACAGAGGACATTCCCAATCACTCTCAGTTCAACCCATACATGTTAATTTATAATTACACATGCAATGAACCAATTTCTTACCTCAATCCACTTGGTCCCGGACCAAGGGCAATTCACTGATTCAAGATTCGGGATTCAGGTCGATGTACGGCAACCTATACAATAACGTACATCCATCAGTACTCGTCAAATAGTATCAAAACGCAAAAACACAAAAATCCTCCCCATCTTCCCTTGATGGTTCGGCCATTGTAGTGTAAATGTGAGATTTATTTTTCTAAATTTTCTTTCTCATTTTGTTACGTCTCATTAGGTTGTCAATAAGCCAATTCAAGTGCCGGTTCGTCATTTTCGCGTCGGATTACATCAGGAAGCGAAAACCGCAAAATCCCCCCTTTTTCCCTTGGAGGTTCGGCCATATAGGTGTTAATTGGGGATTTATTTTTCTAAATTTTCTTTCTCATTATAGTACCCATCCTTGGGTTGCCATAAGGCCATTTCAACTGTCGTTTCGCCGTTTTATGTCTTTTAAGCATCGTTTCGCTAAATATTTCGCTCTAGGTTCATTTATGCCAACTAAACCACTTATTATTTTTCCATTGATTCTAACACTTGCCAATCACAACACAACCCATCTAAGCACTATATAACTACACAAATCATCATCCAAATCATTTTTCATCATCAATTCACTCATTTTTCCTCAAAGGTTCGAATCTTGCCCTATGACATTCCAAAGAATTTCCATTCAATTTTAATCACTCCAACCTTCACACAACCTATCATATCATCATACCATCATGCCACAATTCATCAAACAAGTCTCAACACCAAAATTCACAAGTCCAAAATCATGATCATCAAATTTTTCTAAGTTAAATTCATCAATTTTCACCAATAAATTTCATCGCATTTCTAGCTTTAATACATCATTCTAACACATTATCATCTAATACACATTTTCAAATTGAGCTCTCTAACGTCACTATTCATCATATCAAAGTTTAGGTTTTCAAAATCAAATCATCACCATCAACCATTTAAAATGCAAGAACACTCACCCAAATGGAAGGTACAAGGCTCCTCCTAACTATACTCCACCATTGGAGCACTTGGAAGCTCCAAGAACACAAAATTCCTCACCAAAACCGCAGCTGTAAATGGCCAAGATCTCCTCACACACGCGATTTCAAGGCTCAAGAGTGGTACCAATGTGTTTAGGAGGTGTTTTCCAACAAGTTTCAAGACAAAAATCGTTGGATTCGGTGGAGATTTGACCAAGTTATGGAAGAAAGAAAGCTTGAGCAATTCTTGGCCATGGAGGGGCTGCTGCACGCGGGAGAGAAGAGAGGGAGGAGAGAGAAAGTGTGAAAAAAAAGGTGAGTTTGACTCACTTAAGTCACAGGCGGGTCCCACACGCGTTTTAACTTTAATCAATCACCTAATTTCAACCACAAATTCATGACCTACATATTTTTCTTGTTCATGTCATATTTTTGTTTCCCAAAAATACTGATAAAATTTTCACGCTTATCGGTACAATTATACCGCAGTATTTTTACACCGGAAAATCACTATTCATCAATTTTTCCCAAAATGACTCAATTCCATCAAATTTCATCAAAATCATATTTCCTAACTCAAAAAAACATTTACAACTCATATTTGAAACCTAGAGCTCAAAACTCAATCGGCACGTTTTACGGTGCAATCGTACCGCGGTATTTTTACCCGCGAAAAACACTATTCACTGATTTTTCTGAAACTTGCCTGTCCACTCAATTTTTCGTTCTGAACCCATTTCCAGGGTTATTTTTACCATCTGAGACCTTCTACTCAATTTTTATCTTCCTAGGGTTGCGTGTTGGCTAATTACCGTTTTGCCCTTTCTTTGTATTTTGGCCTAATCTTTTGGATTTTCACTAATCCATCACTTGATTGCTCACTTAATATTTTAATTACTTGATTTAAAATTGTGAGGTGTTATATTCACCCCAACTTTTAGAATTTTGTCCGCAAAATTAAATCATACTCATCCGCTAACTCAGGACACAGTCGGAGAATCTCATCCTCCCGCTCCCAAGTAGCATCCTCAAGTGTGTTCCCTTACCACATTACTTTTATCACAAGCATGATCTCCTTTTTATGATACTTATTATCCTTTGATCCTTCACAATCACTTGTCTCTCATGGTTCTGTGACCTTTTAATTCACAATACTTTACACTTTCTCTGGTCTCCCGTTACCATTTCGCTGATTTGTAGGTAACAATATAACAATATTACGGATTTGTCAGTATCAATTTACCTCATTCTCATCTTTATCCATCTTTCTGACCTATGGTCGTTCTCAAAAGCATCTAACCGCTTTCATGCACATTCACTAGTTATTCCTGGAGTATTTCCAACTCACTTTCTTTAGTACTTAACTTTTTTCGCGGTCCTCACTGTTTTGACAATACCCCAACAACCATTTCTTTCCATTACTGTCACTACTCTTATCATTTCGTTGTTTTCTTGGCTTTCACCCAAGCACATACTTTCTAGTTTCAAAGGCACTTTGTCGTGTCCTACAATTACGACTCACATTAAATTCTATACTCATATACTTTATTTTTCCTTGTCACGTGTCTTCACCTCTTTTTAGGCACTCACAACTATATCTTTCTCTTTGTGATACGAAACTAGCAATACCCATACTAGTTTATATTTTCGATTAGCCCTATAAGGCCTTTCGACCACAAATACTCATGAAATTTTTCCATCTACAAACTCATATTCATAATTTACACTCATTGTTAAACTCTTTATTAGCTTAACCATCTCAACTTTACCAACTCAACCAGCTCAACTCCATACTTAGACCTCTCACAGTCTAAACACAACACTCATCAATGACCTCCACATCAAGGCCTCATGCTTAATATTTTCTCCCACTAACTATTTTCAACTTTTATTCCACTCCGACGTTGCAACTTAACCATATGTTCAACTTATTTATACCACTTTTTCGTAATCATCGTCATTTAATCCTGAATGTCAAACTCAATATAACATCACCTTACAGTTTTCACCAACTTTCACCAATCATCTTGGTTGTTCGAATCAATCAACCACACCAAGCCATTTCACTACTAACTGATGGACCCTTAAAATGCCATGTCTCTCACATGCAAGTCTCGTTCTATAGGAATCTTTGAAACTTAATTATCAAGTCACATAAAACTAAATCCATCCTTGCCACTACTTATACAATTCCCCACCGATTGGTATCTCAATCTCTCAGAATATTCAAAGCTACCACAAACACTCAGTCATACCTCATTAATACTTAACCAAAACAATATTATCATTGTGCATTTTCCACACACTTTCCACCATAAGTGGCATATGCGATTATATATAACACTCCTCAATCCACTCTATCAGTACAACCAAGCTATCAACTTTTAGGCAACCGATCGCAATTCCAGTTTCCAACTATTATTACACATTCGCGCTTGATTCCATGACAATTTACCTTCTATAAGGGCTAATAATTCACCGTTTTAACCTGAACTCTTGATCATTACCAGCCTTCCTAGAAGGACACTCACTCAATCTGTCAACATCAATCTCGTTATTATCTCTTTCATCATAAGACGAGGATTTCCAACAAATTTACTACCTCACTTGGAGCCGAAATTATTTCATCAAACTTACTTTACACCCACAATAGTGTTTCACTATCACACTTCAAAAAAAAATTTACACACTATGCCTCACCTCTTGTATCCAATTCTGACATACTATTGTCCATTTACAAATATCTGACCTCATTTTTGCGTTAATCACATGGAAGAACTCTCTCAATACAGTGGGTAACAACATTCACAGGTTTTAACCGCTCGAGCTCTTGCTGTCCTCAGGGCCCCAGATGTAATGACCCACCGATCAGAGAATCCACCCATATAATCCATGCAGTAATGATAACCTACCACCTGCTGACTGTGTTCTAT